GCAGAAGTGTTCAATCTGGCTTAAGGCAAATAATTTTGCCCCAATTTTTTCATCTTAAATAAAGCTGATAATATAACCTACCCAGCAGGATGTCTGTGAGGAATAAAGGAGATTGTGCACGCATAAAGATCAGTTTCTGGAGTCTGGCACAAAGAAATAACAACAAATGGTAACTTTCAAGTATACCTATTAGTGAAATATTATCCCATTGAGTTGTTTTATTTATATAAATATCATCCTATTGAAATGTTGCCCCCTCCCTATAACTTTGAGTTGGTGACTCTAATTTTTGTAACCTCATTTTGCTAAAAAGTATGGGAAGTAAGGGAATGAATTCCCTTTGGACTCCTGGTCTGGGCTGGAGGCACTGAGGTTCAACTGGATTGATAGCGTGGGAAAGGCAGTGCTCAGGGAATCAGAATGTGAGTGCCTCGAACTGTCACTCTCCTTGTGCCCATTACATGGCTGAGAAACTGAAACCTAGAGCCATGCAAGGTCACAAGACAAGTAACTGGCAGAGCCCAGTTTTCAAGAACCGGATTTTCTGCAGATAAAGGGGCTTCAGTTCCTCATTTCTCATACCTCTTCCCCACACCCCACTCCTCGCTCAGATCAGCACTAACAGAAGAACTGGGCAGTATTTCTGGGGAGGAAGTTGGATTATCAGTCCCGTGGAGCCTGGGGAACTCTAAAAAAGGAAGGAAACCCCTCTCCACAACTTCTCGAGTATCTCTGAATAAGGAAGGATTTTTTTTCTAGTCATGAGGCAGGAGAATGTACTCTCCAGAGAGAAAGTGTCCCCCTTGACCCTGGCTCTAGTCTCTGGTTTGCGGTCCCGGATGGACGAGAGTTTCGGGGGGGCGTGGCACCGCATCGAGGGATTTGTTTATTTTGTGAAGAGGGTATCTGGAAGAAACAGTCAACGATCAGACTTCCTCAGCCACACTTTAGATGGCGGCTGCCAGGCCACGCCCCAAATGGCGGAACCGGGTGTGTGGCCGGAGAGACGCTTTTCCTAAAATGGAGAGGGAGAGAGAGAACGTCCATCACAGCTTAGCCCCGCACCCGAGGACAGCTAGGGCCAATTACCGATCCCAGGGCGGGTGCAAAGCCAGGAAGGGAGGCTGCTGTTGTCATAGCAACAACTAGGGATCCCGAAGGCGGGCGCAGCCTCTAAGGGATCGACGCCTCCGCTCTCTAGCTGCCCAGAAGGTCCTGGGAGTGGCGCGAGCCAGGCCTAGGAAGCCAGCGCCCGCTGGACAGGTCAGGACCATGAACTCCAATCTCCGCTGCCGCTTTCGCACTTCCTAACCGTTAGGTTTTCTGAGGTAAGAATGGCGCATGCGTAAACTTAGAGGCGGGACTTTGGCACCCTTGCACTTAAGACGCATGCGCCTCATAGACGGGGTGGGAGAATCTTCTGACCTGGGGGCGGGGCTTTGTACTTGTGGGCGGGGACATCGGCCCTGGGGGCGGGGCTTTCCGCTGGGAGAGGTAATTTAGAGGCCGGCTGATTGGATGTCTTCTCCTCAGCCCAGCCCACCCTAGGCCCCTCATTTTTTCGGGGCTCTCCTGGAAAGGCAGCTGTGATTGTGTGGCCCACCCTCAGTGGTTTGACGAAACTAGCTTGGAATCCTAATACTGCCCCTTATTTGGAGGGCCACAGTTTCCCCGTCTGTAAGGTGGAAATAGTGCACTTACTCATAGGGCTGTGATGATATTTTTCCCCTCTCAGGGCCATGGCTGAGGTGCACGTGATTGGACAGATCGTGGGGGCCACCGATTTCTCAGAAAGTAGCCTCTTCTGCAAGTGGGGCATCCACACAGGTATTCCCAAGCCTGGTACATTTCCCCCACCAAGATCCCTAAATTAGAGATTCCATCCTCTTTCCTGGCCCAGTCCCTGATCCTCATCTTCCATTGGTTCTCAGGACTCCTAGCCCCGACCACACTGTCCACGTGAGTCTCAGGCTCCCTTCTTATCCCTTCCCATCCCATCTCTAGGGACTCTGGTTCCCACTCAATGAACACACAGCCTCTAAGGATATGGGACCATAGATTAGACCACAAACACACTCCCAATCCTCAGAACACTAAACAGCCCTAACTCTACTGCTGGGACTTCATTCACTGTCTTAGGGGTGCCCTAGGTCCCTCCCCATTCTTAATAATTCTTTGCTTAAGAGTCTCCATTTATCGAGTTGCTATAAAATGGAAGTTGCTATCCCACATTTAGAGGCGAGGCCACCCTCCTGTATTCATAATTCTCTGTGACAGTGTAGGAGCCCTGTACTAGCAGTCATCCAAGTCCATCCACCTGGCCCTGGAGGTACCTCAGAGGCCCCAATTTTCATGTCTCCCCGTGTGAGGTGGTATAGTGTAATGGTTAGGGCTGCCAGATCTGGACTCAAACACTAACTCCCCCACCAATTAATTGGGGGCCTTTAGACTTGACCTCTCCAAGCCTCAGTTTCCTTGTCTGAAATTGAAGCTAATAGCAGCCAGAGGCAGCACACGACTGAGGTTAAGAGCACAGACTGCCTGGGTTCAAAACCAGCTGTTTGCACTTGTCTTTGTTTGGGCTTCCCTGTCTGTACAATGGGAATAATAACAGTTCCTCGTGGCGCGGTCGTGAGGACTAAAGGAAGAGCAACAGCACTCTGGAGAGGGCCTGGCCTAGTAAGTGCTCAGTGTTTGCCCCGCTCGGGTAAAAATCGGATGTAAAGCCAATTTTTATATGTTGCCCAGCACAATAAATGCCCATGAAGGGAGTGCAGCTGTTGTCCTAATCATCACTTTTGGCCCCGGGAAATTGTGGTCCTCCAGCTAAGCAGATGAAGAGGCAGCCCTGGAGTCAGACTCGGCTCCCAGTCTGGGCTCCACCACTCACCTGCTCTGTGACCCTGAGTGGGTGCTTTTCCCTCTTGGAGCCTGTTTCCCCATCTGTAAAGTGGGATATTTGTCCTTCACAGGAGTGCTGGTAAATGTTATATGTGACAAGCCTACCTCAAGGCCTAGTGCTTTCTTCACTTGGCCCAGAAGAAGCGATAGCCATATGGTTTTTATTATTTCAGGGAGCTGTTGTGCGGGGCAGTTAGTCCCGCAGAGAGCTCAGGGGCAGTTGGATAAAGGGCTTGGGTACTGCTGTCAGACAGAGCTCAGTTTGAATCCAGCTCCATCGTGGGACCTTGGTCTGCTGCAGTCCTGCTGTACTTCCAGCATGGAGAACAGTCCTTGGCACGCAGCAGGTGACCAATAAATGTTCGTGGAGTGAATGGCCAGGTGCCTTTCCTTCTAAGAGTCTGTTTCTTTACCTGTAAAATGGAGACTATATCAGCACCCACCTCCTAGGCTCATTTATTTGCCAAAAAAGCATTTATTGAGCACCTTCTGTGTACGAAGGTCTGGGTTTGAGGTCCAGGGGATCTAGCAATGTACAAGATCCCTGCTCTCCTGGGGCTCACAGGAGGACAGATAAAGATAAATAAGAAGATAAATGAGTGTAATGATTACAGATAGTGGTAGGTACTAGGAAGAAATGAGATGTGATAATGTGATAAGTCCTAGTTTTGGGTAGAAGCATGAGGGAGAACCCTCTAAAAGTGGCACTTGAGCTGATCCCCAATGGATGGGAAAAAGCCAGGCATGGGGACATCAGGAGCAGAGCTTTCTAGGCAGAGGGAACAGCCAGTGCAAAGGCCCTGAGGAGAGATCAAAAACAGAACCCGTGAGGCTAGAGGGTGGCGAGGGGTGAGGAGAGTAATGAGAGAGGAGTTCGGGAAGGGGGACACAGGCCAGGGCGTGCAGGGCCTGCTGGGCTGTGGGGGAGCCTGTAGACTGGGGGCGGGGTATGGATCAAGAGTCCTAGAGGACAGATTAAACAAATTCATCACTAAAGCGCTTAGCGCGGCGTCTGGCCTTTGGTAAACATTTGGTGCCTTTTCGCTGTTACCGTCATCCTCCGTAGGACTGGTATTATTGTGTGCCTTTCACAGTGTGCCCAAGCTCCTTTGTGAATGGCACCCTTGGCCCCATCTCAGTCCTTGGACTAGGCCTCTAAACGTGGGGTGAGAATAGTAACAAAGGATACCCGACACTTAGCCAGCACTCGCTATGCCCCAGGCACCGTTCCGAGTGCCCTGTATGTATTAGTTCATTTAATCTCAAGAAATGATAAGGAACCCATTATTATCACACCCAATTGACAGATGGGGAGACTAAGGCAGGGAAAGATAACTTGCCCAAGGGTATGCAGGCAGGAAGAAGTAGTGCCAGGAGTTGAACCCAGATGTTTGGCTCCAGAGTTCACATTTTGTAACCCTTGTTGCCCAATGCCAGGGAGAAGTGGGGTCCTGTCTCCACGACGGCCTCCCCTTCCTGATTGCTGCCTCCCACCCCTCCCTGCCCCTCGGTGTCCTGGCTCTCATTGCAGGGGCGGCGTGGAAGCTCCTGTCAGGCATACGGGAGGGCCAAACGCAGGTGGACACCCCCCAAATAGGGGACATGGCCTACTGGTCCCACCCCATTGACCTGCACTTCGCCACAAAAGGTCTTCAAGGTGGGTCCCCAGCCTGGGCCCCGGGCCGGGCTGAGGGGTGGCAGTTAGCAGCAACCCATGCTGCTGAGACTGGGAACACCAAACCCTGTCCCCGCTCCCTCGCCCTTTGCGTCCCTTTCACACCCAGGCCTGGCCCTGGAGAGGCTGTTAGGAGGCCTCCCTGGGCTGACTCTGGAGTGCGTCAGAGGCCAGGGGTGGAGGGGGAGAGGGGAAGGTGGAAACCACCAGGAGAGGGGAGGTTGCTTTCAGAGAGATAAACCAAGAGTCTTCAATCAGGAGGAAGCTGGGAGGGGTTATGAGAGAGGCCAGGCTCCTCGGCTGATAAGAGGGGAAATGAGTATTTGGGGGAGGGAGGGTACAGAACATCTTTTCTGGTGGAAAATTTGGGTCATACTGAGTGGATTCCAGAAAATAGCCTAGGTGAATGTGCCATGTATTTCAACAATATAAATAATATTTACTGAGTGCCTGCCCTGTGGTGGGTGATGTCAGGGAGATGTCAGTGATTGAGACAGCCCCCAGCCCTGTCCTCACAGCGTTCACCATCCCATGGGGAAGACAGAGCTGTCCCCAGAAAATGGCAGCCCAGAGTGGGCAGGCCTGGGATGGGGGAGTCTGGATGGCTATGGGAGCCCAGAGGAGGCTCCTGACTGCTGGTGAATTCAAGAGGGAGGGCTTCCTGGAGGAAGGGATGTTTGAGCTTTGCCATGAAGGGCCACAGCAAATAATAGGAGCTATTAGGGCAGAGAGAAAGAAGGTTTCTAGGCAGAGAGCTGTGTACGGAAGGCTCAAAGGGTAAAGTGAGCCACAGCATTTGGAGGATGGAGGGAAAGCAGGAGAGCTGGAAGGGTCCAGATGGTAGGGGACAGGCCATGCAGAGCCTTGAATGCCAGGCCGCAGAGCTGAGGCCATCTCCTGAAGGCCCCGCAGAGCCACAGCAGGCAACTGACAAGTCAGATTTTGCTTTTAAAGGGTGATAGATTGGAGGACTGTCCTTTTACTGTTCAGACCCCCAGTCCCCAGTGTGGGTATCATCCTCACCTCTTCCCAGCCCCCCTCCCATTCTGTCCATCAGGAAATCCCATTGGCTCTACCTTTGAAAGGCATACTACGCCTCACCACTTCTCCCCCATACCCTAGTCTGTCGCTCTCACCTCTCACCTGGGCCATTATGGTAGCCTCTTCGCTGGCGTTCCCACCCCACCTGCATAGGCTGTCCCTCTGGGAACATCTAAGTCAGGTCACATTCCTCCTCTGCTAAGAACTCTCTGAGTCCCCTCTCTCTCAGGATAAAAGCCAAAGTCTTCCGTGGATCTCAATGCCCTGAATGATCTCGTGCTGTCACCTCCCTTTCTCCTTCTGTCAATGGCCTCAGGCTACACTGGCCCCACCAGACACCTCCCACCAAGGGCTGTTCCCTTTGCTGGGAGCACTCTTTTCCCTAGACGTCAACATGGCCCGCTCCCTTCCCTCCTTGAAGCATTTGCTCAAATGTCACCTCAGTGGAACTTGTCTTGATCACCCCCTTTCTAAAACTGCATCCCCACCCCCATCCTACCCAGCTTTATTTTTCTCCAGAGCAGTTATCACCATCTGACATACCCTATAATTTGCTTATTTACTACGTTCGTTGTCTAGGATGTCAGTTACACAAGGGCAGGAATTTTTGTCTGCTCTGTTCACCAGTGTGTCCCCAGCTTCTACAACGGGGACTAGCACAGAGGGGCTCAGAAGGGAGGGTGAGATGGGGCCAGCTTTTCAAGGGTTTTGCCTACCAGACTGAGGAACTAAACTGTATTCAGAGGATACTGGGAAACGTATGGAAAGGAGAGAAAGATGCTTCCCAATGCCAGATGGAAGGTAGATTGAAGGGGCAAAAAAGAAGGCCCTGAGCCCAGAGAGAACAGGGTGGGCCATAGTGTGGGAAGGAGTGGAGGCGGCTAGGACAAGCCCCAAGGCACTCATTCACCAGGGGACTGGGCTTCCCAGAGATGGGGACACAGAAGAGAGAGAAGTCAGCAGAGGATAGATCCATGTTGAGGTTGGACTTCATACTGAGGGCACTGGGGAGCCATGGACAGGTTTTAAGCAGGAGAGGAACATAGATTCAGAAAGATCCCTTTGGCTGGGAGTTCAGAGAGGAGGCTGAGGAAGAAAGGCAGGGGGGTAGGGACTGGGCCTGGAGTCTCCAGTGGGGATCCAGGAGGTGGGGATCTGGAAGCAGAAGACGGGGCTGACTCCATCCCTCCTTCCCTCCCTCCTGTCCTGCAGGCTGGCCCCGGCTCCATCTCCAGGTGTGGTCCCAGGACAGCTTTGGCCGCTGCCAGCTTGCAGGCTACGGCTTTTGCCACGTGCCCAGCAGTCCAGGAACGCACCAGCTGGACTGCCCCACGTGGCGGCCCCTGGGCAGCTGGCGGGAGCAGTTGGCACGGGCCTTCGTAGGTGGCGGGCCTCAGCTGCTGCATGCGGATGCCATCTACAGTGGGGCTGACCGCTATCGCCTGCACACAGCTGCCGGCGGCACCGTGCACCTTGAGCTGGGTCTGCTTCTACGCCACTTTGACCGCTATGGCGTCGAATGCTGAGGGGCCCTTCCTCGCCGGCCCCCATCCATACCCCTGGACGCCCAGCGAGGGGCAGGATGGCACAGTGGTAGAAGCATGGGCTCCGGAGACGGTCAGACCTGACCCCAGCCAAGGCTTGATATGGCTTCTGTCCTGCTTAGCACCTCAAGCCTAGTGGCTGTCCCTCTGGGGTCCAACTTCCCCATCTGTGAAATGGCAGCAAGCGTGTAGAGTCCCAAGGGTTTGGGGGAGAAGAAACTGCCTCACATGTGGAAGTGTTCAATAAAGGAAAGCAGTTCTGACAGGTGTGGGTTCCTTCCTGACCTCCTGACCTGTCAGGTGGCCTGTGCCCCATCCTCCTACTGACACCTTCCTTCCTCAGGCCCCACCTTCTGACAGACCTGTCTCCCCCATCCTTCGCTTCAGACTCTGACGCCCCTCCCCACTCTGGGTGCCCCTCTTATGACTCCCTCTCCATGGGGTTCCCTTCCTCTGTGCCCCTCTCCCCACTGGGTCCCCTATCTCCTGGCTGACCCTCGCCCCTTCTGCCCCCGCCTCCCACTCTCTCCGTTCTGAGTCCCCTCCTCTGATCTCCTGTACCCTGTGTCCCCATCCTCTGATTGAGCCTTGCCTGCCAGGTCTTTATTCGGTGACCTCTGCACAGCCCTCAAAGCCACAGGCAACCTCCCGCTTCGGTAGTGCTCCGCCGCCAGGAGGCAGCACCCGGTTCGTGGGGCGGGGCCGGGGTGCCCGCCCCCTACCCCCGGGGCTTAAGGGACCCCCCTCAGAGCCCGCCCACGCGAGCTGAGGTCGGTGGCCCGGCCCCCCCATGCCCGCCCTCCTGGGGGCCGCCCCCGCCCCGCGCGCTTCCTCT